GCCGAGGCCCCCCCGCGCCGCCTCGGCCTGGGTCCCCCTCCCGGGGACGCCCCCCGCGCCGAGCTGGTGGCGCTCACGGCTGTGCAGAGCGAGCAGGGTGAGGCGGGCGGGGGCGGCTCCCCGCGCCGCCTCGGCCTTCTGGGCAGCCCCCTGCCTCCGGGCGCGCCCCTCCCTGGGCCGGGCTCCGGTTCGGGCTCCGCCTGCGGCCAGCGCTCCTCGGCGGCTCACAAGCGCTACCGCCGCCTGCAGAACTGGGTCTACAACGTGCTGGAGCGGCCCCGCGGCTGGGCCTTCGTCTACCACGTCTTCATGTGAGTTTGCGACCCCCGCGACCCTTCGCGTGCCCCGGCGCTGCCCCCGCGCGAGGAGGGTTCCCGGGGGACGGCTGTCCTTCCCTGGCTCCACCTCCCGCCCCCCTGCCAGGCGTGGACCCTCGCGTCTCTCCCTTTCAGGCCTGAGCCCCAGCCTGACCCTAACCTGGTATCTCCCAGTCCTGACCCCTGCTTGCCCTCGCTTCTGGCCTCTCGATATTTCTATCCCAACCGCCAACGCCAACCCCTGCTCCTCTCTTCCAGGTACTCCCCACATCCAGCTTCTTGTCCCCCACCACCTGGCAAAGTCTGGAGCCACTAATGCTGGGCTGTCCTTTCCTTTTCCCCACCTCTGCCTCCCTGTGTCCCAGGCACAAAGAGCATTCCTTGGCCCCCACACTTTCTGCCACCTCCTCCACAGCTTGGTAGCTATGATAGACTCTCACCGAGGTTTCCCTAAGAGATGCCCTTCTTCAGAAATACCCCATCTCCTGTCCAGGGCTAGCTTGTAGGTGTTTGAGGGTTCCCATGGCCCTGACAGGCCTGTGTGCAGTTTCTGACTTTGTGTTTTCATTAGTCTTGCCCTCTACCCTCAAGTTCCCAGCAGCAGCGGGCGGCCCTGGCTGCGCTGCCTGGCCGGGCTCTGAAGGCTGGGCCCAGCTCTCCTGCCTTGCTGGCTGACTGTACCAGGCCTGGCTCTGGGCATGGGGTAAAAGAAAGAGGAGAGGGGTATGTTTGGAAACATTGACGCTGCTGACTCCTCCTCCTTCTCTCCAGGCTCCTACAACTTTCAAAAACACTGACCCCTCTTGGATGTAAAGAGTGAATTTTGGCAGCTCAGAGCTTGGTCTTAGAGGACAGCCTGGCCCCGCCAGGAACATGAGAGGCCCCGCTGATATCAGTTAAGGGCTGGGCCTGGTGCTGGGATGCTCGGAGGTGGCAGGGAGACACAATGTACTGCTATTAATCCCTTCTCACCACCACCAGAGACTTGGAGTCTTCGGGTCTTAGGGTGTCTTGGGTGTCCCTCTCACAGTCTTGGCTGGCTGTCCCTCTGCCAGACTCAGTTTCTACCTGTGTGTGTTAGCCATGTCCATCCAATTGTTGGGCAGTCTTTCTGCTGGCCTGTTTCCTTCCTGAGCCTGTGTGGTATCTATGTGCCTGTCTGTCCATCTGTCTATCCACTTAATGGGCACTCTTGCACCTGGCTTTTTCCACCTGCCTTTTGGTCTGTCTTCCTGCTTGTTCTGCTGGTGCCTGCTTGCCTGCTTCTGTCTCATCAGAACCAGGCCCTCAGAGTTTCAGAGGTGAAGGGGAAGAAGACCACACAGGGAAGGGTAGAGGAAGAGAACTCCCTGGCCATTGGGCGCCTGGAGTAGCAGCCTTGACTTTAAGCAGAGACTCCAAAGAATGTTGAGATTGTGTAGAACATAAGGTCAGCCTTTGGGTCCAAGTCAATGGTGAGCAGTAGCCTATCCCCCAGAGCTCTCAGAGGAGTTACTGAAGGAGCTGTGAAGTTTATTGCTGGTGGGTGGGGGGAAGAGGTGGGGACTGCTCATTGAGAGTGGCTGCATAAGGACTAAAGCTAGAGATCAGAAGTAGAGCACTTGCTTAGTGTGTGTAAGGCCCTGGGTTCCATCCCCAGCACTGCAAAACAAACAGAGCTCCACTCCGGTGTCCAAGGAGCTGAGACAATCATGGGACACAACTGTGCCCTCCACAGACTCCTCTTGGGAGGGGACTTTTCCAAGGTGTGGCTGAGCCTAAAGAAGCCAATCTAGCTCTGGGAGTTCCTTAGCCCCTGCCTGGCTGGCCTCTTTGCCCCCTGTGATGGTCACTGGAGTTGAAGGATCTGCTACCTAACCCCAACCTGTCACTGCTGTTGTCTCCTCTGTCAGGGCCTTCTGTTCCTCTCCGGGAGCTAAATCCGCTGACACCTTTGCCCCACATCCTGCCCTTTCTGGATGCCAGGAATGCCCTGGCCAGGGGCATGCTTGTCTCTGACCACTTGTCTCCAGGAGTCTAGGGCCCAGGCATTTCTCCGAGCTCCGGGGGAAGAAATGTGGTGTGAAAACAAATGTCCGGAAGTTTAGGGATCTCAGGGAACTGTTCACCCGTCTTAGAGGTCAAGGATATTGAAGCTATAGGAGCCTAACTCTTGGGTGCTCTGTAACCTTGTACTGGTTGTTGGGCCTCTCTGAGCTTTAGATCTGTAGGTTGTCAAAGTGGGAGAAACCTCAACCTGTAGGTCTCCCTCTTGGATGAAGTAATGGGTGGGAAAGAGTGTGGTAAGCTGCGAGGGCCGGCCTGAGGATGAGGGATGGTTGTTATTATTGGGGCTGGGGGGGAGGGGCCCACACAGAAGTCTTTCCTGGTCTTGAGGCGCTCCAGATGTGGGTTTTCTTGCCACTCATTGCAGGGTCCTGTGTGCTCTTGCCAAGAAGTGTTTCGTGCCGCTGGGCTTCTAGCCCTCTCCTCCCCAATCTCCATCAGAGTGAAACCAAATGAGGGGAGTCCTGCATTAGAACCTCATTCACAGAGGTCCTTCAGAAGGACCCTGTGGCAGGAGGGCCCTTCAGAAGAGGCTGGAAAAAGGCTGCAAAGGAGAGGACTAGGACATCTCCTTCACACCTGCCAGCCAGCCCTTCTGGGTCCCACACAGAACCTGCACCTTTCCTGGCACCTAGGGATGGGGAAGTTGCTCATAGGACAAGCCTAAGTTGCCTCTCTGTCAGCAGCTATGTCTCTGGGAAGTGAGAACTGTTGGCTTCTGTCTGTTTAAGAGCCAGAGCCAAAGGTTGCTGGACTCCTCTGAGTTCTTCCTGTCTCTTTAGACCCTTGGTCTTGCCTCCAAGTCCTCCACCCACCTGTGCCCCAACTCCAATGGATGTCAGTCCTCAACCCTTCGCTGACCCCACTCTCAGCAGTTTACCAAGTATCCATTGCTACCCAATGGAAGGCTCGCCCCTTGCCTCTCCCTCTCAGAGGTTAAACCAGCCTCCATGGAGTCCCAGGGCTGGAAGAGGCTGTTACATAGCAAAGCCCCAAAACTTCCCAAGCCACTGTGACACATTTGCCTGGTGCTCCCAGCCCCCAGCTACCCAGAAGCCTTTCTCTATGTGAAGGTTTAGGACTCTGTAAACATCCTCCCTCAGCCTTGTCCCTGGGGTCAGAAGCTGTGGGAATGGGGAGGGGAGGAGGTAGCAGTAGCTCTTGTGGCCTTCAGACTCCTAACCCTGGAGCCCCCCAACCTCCCACCTCAAACATCTGAAATAGAACATTGTCAGGGTTGGAATAATCCCAGCAAAGGGTACCCAGAGCCCCACACAGCCCCACCTGGCTGGTCCTCACATTTTGACAGCCCCATTTTGCTTTTGAGAAAACTAAGGCTCTGGAGACCAAAGTCATGTGGTAAATTGGTGGCAGACACCGAGGAGCAGACCCTGAGACTCTGACTCTGTTCGGGACTGTTTCCTCTGCTTCCTGTAGCTGCCTGGCGTGGCCTTGGGAATTTGAGCTGAAATTTCTGCGTGCAGCAGCCATTGTGTGCCCAGCATCATACTAAGCACTCTTAAACCACTCTCATCACGTCCTTCAACAGCCTCAAGAGGCAGCCACTGTTATCCTCCCCATTCTCAGCTGGGGAAACTAAGAGTCTGCAAAGGTGGAAGAGCCTCAGCTCAGAACTGGGTTGGACTCAGAGCTCCTCAGCCACAGCTAACACCCCAACCCCGTGCCCATTCTGTCATTCATCTCTGTCTCCAGCATCCAGCACTCCAGCAAGCAGGAGGTGGGACAGCAACAGATTTGTGGAATTGAATGGAGACTGTCCAGCTGCATCCAACATAGTCATGCTTTCATTAGACACACATATCCCCATTGTGTGTGAAAGTGTCTCCTGTACACACCACAGCCTTGCCACATGTGCCTGCAGATATCACAAACATACACACAGCATACATCCAAGGAAAAGGAATGTAATACACAACTTCTCCCACCTTTTCATTCGTTTCATAGACACATGCCTGGTCCTGGGGCTGCAGCCCTGACCCGAAGCACAGATCCAAGCTAGCTCCCTTTCTGGAGTTGCCTTCACCTGTCCACACTGTTGCAGATTGCCCTCTGGATCTGTGCAGATTGGTGAATTGACCTTTCACGGCAGCCTCAGAACCATGGAGGAGCGAAGTGGCTGGCTTCCTAGAAGTTTGCTGGTCTCTGCTCCTCCCCAAGGGCCTTCTGAGTATCTTAGGGCCAATGTGCAGAAACCGATGCACAGAAGGCATCCTCACTCCTCCAAGTCACACTGATCGAGGTAGTGGTAGGACCGTGCCAGAACCCAGGCCTCTGCTTCCCTGCTCAGGAATTGTGACAACAGAGTTCTTCAGTCCAGTCCAGGGAAGACTGGTCATCCAATAACTTTGTGTTGGGATTGGGACGGTCTTGGAGTGTGACCCACATTTTTTTATGCTGCTATTTTTCAGCTCCAGGCTGTTTGTTTGGCTTTTGTAAGGAGGCGGGAGAGTGGAGAAACCATCCTATTCCTAAGTCGCCTTCTTCCTCCCCTTTTTTCTCTCCCAGTACTTCTTATTCCTTCCTCCCCTAGGTCTCCTTTGGGATCAGGTTAGATCTCTCATTGTCAGCCTCCACTACCCCAGCTCCATAGTACATTCCTTTATCCCATTGAGGAAGCACTGCTGGAGGTCTGACTTCAATCCCCATTGCTGCAGAAGCCTATTCCGCAAATCCTTTGGGCCAGGCATACTTCAGAAGGTGGTTATTCCCAGGCTGATGGCAGCACTTTGAGTGGGTGATTAATTTAAGGATCTCTGAGCCATCCAAGTTGCTGAGGCTGCCTGGGAGCAGGGAGAGGAGATTACAGCTTGGGCCTGCCCCAAAGGAGCCAGGCAGCTGCTTGATGTTTTCTTACCCCCACTTTTTACCCCTTCAACTCCCTTCTGCATCCTCCTCTGCACCGAGGTGGGTCTTCCCTTCTTGTGGCT